CGTCATCAGCAGCAGCAAACCTACTGCCTGTTGATTTCCTCTTCAAAAGGCCTAGCAGCAGCAGCACTAATTTGCTGCTGCAGCCGCCGCAGCACGCGGGCGCATGCAATGGCCTCAGCAGCACAGCCAACAGCAAGGCCCTGCTGAATCTCTTTTGCTTCCTGCTGCAGCACTTTCTGTTCTCTGCGGGCAAGGCGCCTTGCTGCTGCTGCTGCTGCGTCTGCTGCTGCTGCTGCTGCTGCAGAAGGCGAGCGGCTGCTGAGGGACAAAAACGGCAAGCAGCATTCAGAGCCGGACGAAACAGCAGCAGCTGCCGTTGGGGTTGCTGCTGCTGCTGGGGTTGCTGCTGCTGTTGCTGCCAGCGAGTCAGACTTGACGGGGCTGCTGCACCCGCTGCTGCTGCTGCTGTGCTGCTGCTGCTGCTCGCCTGCTGCGGACGTTGGGGTGTACAGACGCCCCGGAACAGCAGCAGCAAGCAGCTGCAGGCTGCTGAGGCCACCTCGAACTGAAGACAGCAGCCCTTGCCACCTGTTCCCTTGTTGCTGCTCGTCCTGCTGCTGCTGCTGCTGCTGCTGCTCGCCCACCTGCTGCCACTGCTGCTGTTGCTGCTGCTGCTGCTCGCCCACCTGCTGCCACTGCTGCTGTTGCTGCTGCTGCTGCGACTTGAAAGGTGCAGCAAACCCGTGCGATAGCGCCTTGTCGCTCTGAGTCTCTTCGCTGCGCGGCGGAGGGCTCACAGGCTGGCCCATTTTGTTGCTGCTGCTGCTGCTATTTCTGTAGCTGTTGTTGCTGCTGCTGTTCCCGTTGCTGCTGCCGGGCGTCTGCGCCAGCAGCAGCTGGGGAGCTGCAGCAGCGCAGCGCGCAGCTGCTGCTTGCTGCAGAAACCGCTCAATTTGCATGCACAGCAGCAGCAGCAGCGTGGAGTCGTTGGTTGCAGCACATAAGATATCTAGAGGAGAAGCCCGCAGAAACACGCGAAGAGCAGTCCCTTGCTGCTGCTGCTGTTGCTGCTGCTGCTGCTGCGCTCCCTTTGGCAGCGGACCGAGCCGGTATGGGGCCCCAAGAAAGCAAAAATTGCTCTGGGCCTTCGCAGCAGCAGCTGCTGCTGCAGCAGCGCCGGCTGCTGCTGCTGCATGTATAGGCCTGCTTTTTTGCCCCCCGCTGGGCCCCACCCCGAAGCTAGCTGCTTCCTCCCTCTCTGCTGCAGCAGCTGCTGTTGCTGCTGTTGCTGCTGCGTGCAGAGCCATGATGTTGCTCATACCGTCGCTGCTGCTGCTGCTGCTGCAGTTGCTGCTGAAGTTCACATCCAGGTGCAGCGCCCTGACTGAGCGTGCATGCAGCGCAGCAGCAGCAGCAGCATCAGAAATAGGGACACAAATGACGGGGATGCCCTTAAGAGGCGCTGTAGCTGTTGCTGCTGCAACTGCTGCTGCCTTGGTAGCCGTTGCTGCTGCTGCTGCTGCTGCTGCTGCTGCGCTGCTGAGCCCCTGCCCCTGCAGTGCCTTCACAGCACTCTGTAGGGCCCCCCTAAACACCTGCAGCAGCTGCAGCCACACAGCCCCAACGTGTGCTTCTGTTGCTTGCTGCAGCAGCGGCAGCAGCAGCTGCTGCAGCGCCTCAGCAATGCCTGTGGAGAGGCAAGAAGCAGGTGCAGCAGCAACGGGGGCTGCTGCAGCAGCAGGCCCCAGCTGCTGCTGATGCTGCCGCTGAGAGTACAGCTCTTCAGCTGCTTTTAGCCGCAGGCGGAGTGGCAACTGTTGCTGCTGCAGCTGCTGCAGCAGCACCTGCAGGCTCTCCCTGCATACAGCAGCAACAGCAGCAGCAGCAGCAGAAGGCGATTTTTGAGAAGCAAATACAGACAAGAGGGGAGAGGGGGACAAAAAGAAGCAAATAGGAAACAGAAAAGGTAACAAAGGAGCAGCAAAAAGGGCCTCAGTAGCAGCAAAAAGAGGGACACAGCGAAGGCAGCAGCAGCAGCAAAGCCGAAAGGGAGGCAGCAGCAAAAAGGCTCTGCAGCCCACATGAGCTGCTGCTGCGCTGCAGCAGCAAAGCGGCAGCAAAGCCCCTGCAGCGAAACATCCAGCGAAGGATAAGCAGCACCATTCAGCAGCAGCAGCAGCCGCTGTCTCCCCAGCGCCGCCACCAGCTTCTGCAGAAAGACACGCAGCAGCAGCAGCAGCAGCAGCAGCTGGCTATGGCTCCAGGTACCTAGCTAGCTAGCTAGCCAGCTAGCTAGCTGAGGAGGGACCAGCAGACTAGCCAGCTAGCTAGCTCAGAATATACTGACTAGCTAGCTAGCCAGCCAGATAGCTAGCCAGCCAGCCAACTAGCTAGCTATCTGGCTAGCTAGCCAGTTGGCTAGCCAGGTAAATAGCTAGCCATCCAGATAGCTAGCTAGCCAGCTCGCTAGCTAGCTTGCTATATGGCTAGCTAGCTAGAGAGCTAGCTAGCTAGTTAGCTAGCTAGGTATCTGGCTAGCTAGCTAGCTAGCCATGCTAACGCAGCTAGCTGCTCTCAGCAAGTGCTGCCACAAAAGTGTGTCACGAACAGCGGCGAGACGCAGCTGCTGCTGCTGCTGTTCCTGCTACTGTTCCTGCTGCTGCTGCTGCTGCTGCTGCTGCTGCTGCTTACGTTGAGCGAGTCACCACTTGGAGGCGAGGCGGCCGTGGCGAAGACGCCCGACACCAAACACAAGACCTGCGCAGCA